TATTGCATGTTAATTGCAACTGAAAATGTAAAATGTACATTTAAAATTTTCTTTGAAGTGTCTATGAAACTTGTATGCAATGCAATGTACTTTTAATATTTGAACTAGACTGTAAATGCACAATACAATTAAGCACACTTCTTAAATGTGATTTATACTCATTTTTACCATCTAAAAGACGAGTCAAATTGATTTTCTGCAGTTGTCAACAGCATATTCCTCTTAAATCTCTCTCCGATTCCTCTTCAGTTCGTTCCTTTCCGAGACTACATCGATCGCAGAGGGAATCACATCCTCAGCATGGCCCGTCTGGCCAAAGACGTTCTTGCAGAAATCCCGGATCAGTTCCTCCAGTACATGAGGAGTAGAGGCATCAAACCCCAGCACTCGTCCCACTCCAGCTCCTCCAAACCCCCGTCCACACTCGTCCAGCCACTGCAGACGCAGATCTGAGTCATCGCACAAACTGTACGTCCTCTCTTCGGTTCACTGTCACTCTCAGGATCACACACGGCCTGTCTGAGTGAAACGCTGCCCTTCTGCACGCTGTCTTTCAGTACGTAGGGTGACTTTAGGGCGCTTTACTCGTGGCGCTGTCCTTCCTCGGGCACGCTGAGGTTTTAGGGGGTGTTTCAGACTGTTTTAAAGTATCGCGTGGCCTCTTCAGTCAAACATCAGATATGACTTCACAGTCTCTGTCTCACATACTATCTCCTGTTCTCATGTCTGACGAACTACTGCAGACGTTTACAATTGTACCGTTTTTTTACAAATGGATGTTTTTTTGTACCTCATGAAAACTCTGAGCTGCTTAACAATGAAATTTACTCATTTTATTACATGACGTTGTAAATAGAGCGAGTGTGATTTTAGAAAAAGCATGAATCCACTCTTAGTACAAACGTGAGAGAAACTTTCACGCAGATGTGCGAGGCCTTGGTTTTCATTTTGTTGTACAGTGTTCGCTTTGAATTATTTGACTATATCAGTATTCCGTGTTCTTGGTCATTTGACTGTCTCAAACTGTAAAGAATTTGTGCTTAGCTTTCGCGGCAGTAGCACAGAACAGAAATTTAACAGGAAAAGCCTTACTCTCCGTTAAAGGAACAGTTCACCCAAAATGAAAAATTTTGCATTATTTACTGAACCTCAAGAAATTCCAAACATGTATGATTCTGTCACACCCCTGGACTGTTTTTGGTGTGTTTTCATCCCTCATGTGCTCTGTGTGACCTAGTTTCTGTCTCCCGTTGATTGTGTCATTTGGTTCAGGTGTGTCTTGTTGATTGTCCTCGTCATCCCATGTATTTAAGCCCTAGTCTGTGCAGTCTGTGTTTGTCCGGTCTACTACGTCCCTACGTGTGCTCCTGCCTGTTCTGTCCTGGATTTACCCTTGTGTGGATTTAATAAAGACTATTTGCATCTTCTTCGTGCATTTATCTTACCGTAGAGTGACAGATTCATATTTGTAAGCTATCATTATTACGTTTTGACAGTAATCTTAAATTCTAAATTTGATTAAATGCTGTATTACACAAATGTCAGTCGTCGAGAAATTCCCCTAAATGTACTTTATGATTATGAAAAGAGAAACATTTAACAGATTTTATGGTTCTAAAATAAAAAGAAGCATTAGAGAATGCTCAAAATAACCATTAGGGAATGTTCTGTATAAATTGGGTTTTATTAAAAAACTCTCTGCAATGTTGTTGGAACATTATTTTATGTTATGTAAATAATAAAAAAAGAAAGTGGGGAAGGAGATTAAAAAAGTCTGAGAACATTTTGTGTTAGTTTTATTAGATTGGCACAAAAACTTCTCTGGATGTTCTAGAACTATGTTTATTGTTATTAAAAATAAACCTATGTTCTTAGAACATTAGGAATGGTTTGCCAAATAAATAACCACAAGGGAATTCATACACTAACATTAGGGGAAACTTCTGAGTATGCTAGACATACATTGGGTCTTTTCCTCTCACAAAGTTCAGATTTTGATTAAACTTGAGTACATTTATGGTGTTTCTTTGTAAATTTTGTAGCTTGACAACTACAGTCCCCATTCACTTTCCTTGTATGGAAAAGAGCAGCATTAACTTTTTGCTAAATGCCTCTTTGTTCCACTGAAAAAAGAACAAATGGGATTGGCATGATATGAAAATTTTCATTTTTTTAGGTGAACTGTTCCTGTAATGGTAGAACTGTAGCTGCTCTCAATATCTATATCCAAGCACAGAAATGCAAGCACAGCCTCATACAGAAGTAGCATATGCTTTCAAGCATGCACCACACAAATGGCATGTTTTGTTTGCGTTTGTAATTGTTAGTCTTATTTGCATGCCAGTTTGAGGTATGTTCATTGGGGAGATTTGTTCTTTGGGTCATTCTACAATTGTGGTGGCAGATGCTTTTGCTTTTTGACAACCAAGTCAAACTACAATATACACTATTTTTTAGAAAGCCTTTTTTTTATTATAGAAAATGTTTACAATTAAAATAATTTAACTGTAACTTATTTATAAATGATCTTGAAAAATCTGTAAGGCATCTTAAAAAAACAGAAAATACATGGTCACGTGGTTTTACTCTCATGCATTTTAGATATGTTGTTAAAATTTATTTTGATATATTGATAATTAGCAATTAGATAAATGCTAGCATTTTTGTAATGCATCTTGTAATTAGGGGCCAAGCACCGAAGGTGCGATGGCACCTATTGTATCCGTTGGAGTTCTTATTCTTCCGCTCTGGAAGTCTATGGCAGCCCATAGAACTGCTTGCGGGAGTTATGAAATTTGGCACACTGATAGAGGACAGTCTCATCATCAACCACAGCAAGTTTGGAGTCTCTATCTCAAACTCTCTAGCGCCATCACTTGTCCAAAATTTTACTCATGTTTATGCTAATAACTTTTGAACCGTAAGGCAGAGAAGGAAAATTCTTTTTTCCACCGAATCCTCTGAAAAATTGGCTCACATCATCTTCAGACCATGGTGGCAAAAATTTATGGAGTTCAAGTTGATTACTCAAATCGTTCTCAAATAACGCACAAACGAATTCGACAAAAAGCATGCAAAAATGGATGTAAGACTATATCTCCGCAACGGTTTTGCGTATTGAGACCAAACTTGGTGTATGTTATAATAAGCATGACCTGAGGCTACCTGCAGTGTTTCGGCGCAGTACCACCTAGTGGTCAGGAGATACGAAAAATTGCTATTTTTGGTTATAACTTCTGAATGGTTCGAATCATACCCAATTTTCCCATTTCAGTCATTTTGGGCGTCGGCCATTTTGAATTTTGTCAAAAAATGCAATATTTTACGAACGCTTTGACGTATCGTTACGAAACCATGCCTTGATGGTACTCAAAAAGATTGGGCACAGCGCCACCTTGTGGTCAAAAGTTATAATGAAATTTCGAACAATGCTAATAACTTTTGTTTACATTAGCCTATTGTCTATTGAGACTGATATTGATAGATTCCTTGTATCATGCCGAGAACATCGATACCAATTTTGCCATAATTGGCTTGATTTCCTGTCCGCCATTTTGAATTATGTTGAAAACCTACTTTTTCGAACTCCTCCTAGACCGTAAGTCTGATTTTCACCAAACTTGACTCGGATCATCTTCAGACCATGCTGGCCAAAATGTATGGATTTTGTGTCAATATACGAAACGGTTTTAATTTAACGCATCAACGAATTTGCTGGAAAGATGCCAAACTGCATCTGAGGCTGTATCTCTGCAAAGCTTTTACATATTTACACCAAACTTTGTATGTGCCATTGTCACCTCAAACTGGCCATGCCACATCATTTTGGTAACAGCGCCACCTATTGGTCAAGAGTAATAAACCATTCATTAACCATTAATTATGAAATTTCCAAAAATGCTAAAAACTTTTGATTGCATTAGCCTATTGTAATGGAATTGGTCTCAAAATATTCCTTGTGTCATGCCGACAATACACATACAAATTATGCCACAGTCAGCCGAACTTCCTGTCCGCCACTTTGATTTATGTTGAAAACATACTTTTTCGAACTCCTCCTCAACCGTTGGTCCGATTTTCACTAAATTCGACTCAGATCATCTTCAGACCATGCTGACAAAAATGTATGGATTTCGTGTTGATACACAAAACTGGTTTTGTATAGCACCGCTACAAATTTGAAGCATGATGCCAAAATGACTCTGAGGCTGTATCTCGGCAAAGCTTTGACATATTGACACCAAACTTTGTGTGTGCCATTGTCACTTAACACAGAACACACCACATCGATTTGATAACAGCGCCACCTATTGGTAAAAAGGGATAAACCATTAAATCATATTTCTAGTGGTTGTATTTATAATTTTTCTGCCATTTTGACTTTAATCATCTTAAAATGGTTTTAATTACTCATTGCTGCAGTTGGTCTGATGCTTGCTTCTGTAGTGCTTGGCCCCGTAATTGCTGCTTGCCATCATTGTCAGTGATTTTAATGGTTCCTATTACCTAATAGTTCACCTGAAAATTAAAATTAGCTGAAAATGTATTCATCCTCAGGCCATCCAATATGTAGATGAGTTTGTTTCTTCATCAGATTTGGAGAAATGGGTCCTCTGCAGTGAATGGGTGCTGTCAGAATGAGAGCCCAAACAGCTGATAAAAGCATCACAATATTCCACAAGTAATCCACACCACTACATTATTGTGGATGGTTTTATCAGCTGTTTGAACACTCATTCTGACGGCACCCATTCACTGCAAAGGATGTAATGCTGAATTTCTCCAATTCTGTTCAGATAAAGAAATACTCCTCAAACTCATCTGGCCTAAGAGTGAGAACATTTTCAGCAAATTTTCAATTTTGGGTGCACTATTGCTTTGTAAAACCACTGACAGAAGAGCAAGTCATTCAATAGTAAAATTTTATTTTTTATTATTAAAATAAAATAAATATTTAATATCACCCTGATATGACAAAGAGGACAAAACAAGATTGTATCATATGTTTAATTTAGAATTGATGAGCTGGAAATGATGTCACCATTGTAGATTGACCCAATTAAACGGCTTCAGATTCTCTTCAAAATATCACATGGATCATCAAGAACAATATTATATAAAAATGTTCAATTTTTCCAATTCAGTCCATCAGAAGTTCTCAAGCAAACAATGCTCAGTGACGCCTGGTTAAACTGCCTGTAACAAAAATAAAAAGCTACCGACAGCACTTAACGTGTCTCTTGAGATCGCTCCAGTCAGTGTCAAGAGCTCGGATGTGCTCCTTCTGCTTCAAACCCTTCATATTTCAGCAAGAAAATACACGAGCGAGCCTTTACCCCAGCAACCCCGGGGGAAAAAAAATAACTCAAATACAGGCACAGAGCTAAGACTTCATTTATTTAACATGACAGTGTGTCAACGTCAAGCTCACACCCACTCACGCTGCATCTATGCTGTATTATCTCTATAAATCATGCAGAAAACATGCATCAAAATTTAACCGTGTGTGGGATGGGAACACTTTCCCAGAGTTTTTCCATATGGATTCAGGCAGTCTTCCTCATTTATGGTCACATTAAACTGAACCGCTTCTGTAGATTATTTGTACATTGACTATAATAATTCATGAATGAGAAATCTGCAGCTAAGTAGCTTAGAGCTTCTTGTTGGTTTTAAAACAAAGTACTTTGACTGCATGGCAAATGAATTGTTTACAAGTAACAGATATTGTGCATTTAATCTCAGGTGTGATGACCCTTATTTGTGAAAGTGGTGACAGGTGCCAGTTTGCTTAGTTAGGATCAGTTGAGCTGCTCATTACACCTCAAAGGGTTAGAGGTCGTGTTAGTTGGCTGTAGGTTGTTTAATGTTATTTTTTTTCTTTAGTACAGCACTGGCTGAACTGCAGGAATTTTAGTCCTGGGTCATTTTGGTGAGAATTTAAGATAAACTTAGGTGGGCTTATAGAAGTCCCGTCTCATATAAACAGATATTGTTTACCTTTGTTAATTATGAATTCACAGTTTAATATTGCCTGCATCATGTTTGCATGAGCAGTATTTTAAATGAAATACTTATTTTGTAGATTGTTTGTTTTAGAAATAAAGTTTGCCTTAATGGAGCATTTATTTGTGTTATGCCAAATTTACTATGTTCTATTGTTGCATTTTTCATTACTTTCTTTTACGAACACTTTTCTTGTGCAGTTACTTAAAGGTTTTGTGAATGAGATGCATGCAGGTGCTGTTAAACCAGTGTAGTTTGGCATTAAATGCACTCACAAATAACTCAAGTGTAGCACTTATCAATGCAAGAACGGATTTATTTAAAAACGTTGATTATTATCAAGATACCCAAGACGTCAATGCAATATCCAAAACAAAAAGGCCCAAATTTTGACCAAAGTTCAGTTTTATAATTACAGTTTCCATATTAGAAACTGTGTGGAGAACGGTTTGTTATGACCAACCAGAGAAAGACTTGAAAAGAACTCTGAATATCAATACAATGTGAAGATATGCTGTAATAATCTATTAATGATGCCCCATTCTTATTTCATAAATAAACATTCAAATAAAACATTTGATAATGCTAGTTTGTTTTTTTCTGTGTTATGGACTCCAATAAGTTACATTCTTCATTAGACAAATGTCAACATTAGGGGGAAAAAAACAATGTGAGAGAAACAAAGTCAGGTATGACATACAATATCTTGCCAAAGATTATTAAAATAAAATTCCATAAAGATCATGTACTGCCCTCTACTGTCCATACAGAGACTTGCATCATTATTGTGAGTTTGATTATTTTGTAAACCTAGATGCATCAGTCTACAATTATCATTATTTTGATGAATACATTGACAGTTATTAATAAAACTACAAAAGGACTGTATGTGAAGACAAACTTTGATGCTGACTTGACAAAGCATTGCCTGATAACATTTTAGTGTAAGCTTGATTTAATATTAGATCGAAATATGAAATCTTACATGTTTTATGTAGCTCGAATACTTTTGTTGACTGATAAGTGACTGAATTCAGCGTTTTAAAGACATTTTTTAATAGTTTGAACAGATCTTGGTGGTTATTAAGGTGTTTTGAGTCATTGCTAGGCATGTAAGACTTAACAACTTTGCTAGGCTGTTGCTAGATGGTTTCTATGGGATTACTGGATGGAGATATGAAAAGACAGATGATACATGTTCTCAGAAGAGGTAGTAGTTCACAGTAAATACTGTATAAATATTCACACTTTGCCAAGTCAACATATTTAGCAGCTGTCAATACCAAAACATTGGAACTATAATAATATCAATTAAATCTACTATAAATTTGTTTATATACAATATATGTACAATAAAGTTTTTACAAAACGTTTTTACAATGCAGCAGATTTGGATCTATATTTACATAACACCACTTCTGACTAACCCAGCAAACCTGCCATTCCTCATAGTTTCCCTTGTACCACAACTCTAAATCTTTTTTGAATACTGTTCCTGCTCAAGAACGAAACTATGCATGATTAATTCTGTACCCATGATGCCATGTCACGCACATGCTTCGTATACCATACAGATGTTCCAGGCCATTTCAATGTAGTAGTTTCCATGATGTCCTTTCTTTGTTGGTTTGAATAATTCAGATGACGAACAACACTGAGACTGAGACGTCACAGTTGTGATCTAATATAGCTCTATAGATCAGGTCTGCTTGACTGGATTGGTGTAACACAGCTGGGAGCAAACCTTTCTGACTCAAGGCACTTAATGAACTAATAATGTAGTCACATATTTTCTTAAAAGCATACACACATGTCTTTTGTATTTGTTTTTTTTGATTTTCTTTGATTTTCAGGTAGAGCATACTGTTTGTGGGAGTCATCCATAGGTGCCTGATTTTCAGATATTATTCCATCCATAAATCTGTGAGATGGACATTTAAATTAGCTATTTGTACTGGGATAAATGTGTTGTAATATAAATATTAAAGTTCTAAAGAATCTCACGTGTCTGGGTCAAATTTCAAGATAATAAAATCTATATGTGACCCTGGAGCACAAAAGCAGTCTTAAGTCGCTGGGGTATATTTGTAGCAATAGCCAACAATACATTGTACCAATGGAAAGCTTATTTATCCAGATGTTGTATAAATCTAAATTTCAAAAACTTATGACTGGTTTTGTGGTCCAGGGTCACATATTAGGCTTTTTATTGCAGTATTCAATTCTTAATACTACAATGGATATCTTTAAATTTCTACTTCTGTCTTTTTGTTTCGGGGTGAAATATGGCCCAAACATTTACTTAAGATTCACCTGAATATTGTGGCAAACAGCCAAAATATATACAATAATCCAATCCTTGCTTATTTTTATAAATAATAATACCTAATTTTAAAACAAGGTGTAAATTATCATAGGATATCGTATGACATAGCACAAGGAGTATACTGTCTGTATTCTAAGTTTCAAACACTTACTCGAATTCTTCTAATTTACTTTGTGGATCCTCCAGCAGATGTGAGAGCAGCTTCACTCCTGAATCCGTCAGTTTATTTCCTCTGAGATCCAGTGCTTTTAGCTGTGTCTGGTTAGAGCTGAGAGCTGATGCCAGAACAGCACACCCATCTGCCGTAAGCCCACAGTATGTTACACTGCAAAGGGTTGTGCAGTTATAACAAGATTACTTTAAATTACAAATCTTTTGTGCAAGTGAAAACAGTCAAATGTTCTGCAGAGTGCAGATTCATACCTTTCAATATACTGTATAGTTCAATTTGAAGTTACAGTTCACAATAATATTATTTTTTTTTTCACAATATAAATTCTCTCTTCATTTAGTTTGAATTGAAATGACTAATTACTGGAAATATTTAGGAAATCTTTATTACCTCAGTGACTGCAGTCCTGACAGAAGATGTCTCAGTGCCACTGAAAGCTGCTTCAAACCCGAATCCAGAATTGCATTAGCACTGAGGTTCAGCTCTCTCAGACCTGAGTGTTCTGCTTTGCTTACATAACCCATCATCCGACAGCTTTCATGTGTGAGATTGCAATTATTCAGCCTAAGAAAAGCACAAAAACAATGAAGAATGCTTCAAATGTCCATCCAGTCTCATTTGTTAAGTGTGAGATGTACATTACAAGATTAACAAACAAACTGGAGGACTATTACCATAATCTCTCTAGATGCACACATGGGTCTTCAAACACAGGGAGCAGATGCTTCACTCCTGAGTCTGTCAGGTTATTAATGCTGAGGTCCAACTCTCTCATGTGTGATGGGTTTGACTTTAAAGCAGGTGACAATGCAGAACATCCATTGGCTGTAATTTTACAGTCTGATAGACTGTAAATAGTAGAGTGGCAAATAATCATGAACTAGTGTCATGTGATACACAGCATGTGACATTATTTCATCAGATCAGTCATCTATCACCATCATGTTATTACCGTGTACATGAACACTGTCTACTTGTCTGACTGTAATACCTCAGTGTCTCAAGCTTGCAGGAAGGGCTCTTTAGACCACTGCAGAGCAGTTCCACTCCTGAATCCTGGAGGTCATTCAAACTTAAATCTAAATGTTTCAGGCTTGTAGATGTGGACTGAAGCGCTTGGGCCAGTGCCGCACAACTTTTCCTGGTAAGTTCACAGGCCATCAACCTAAAATAAAATGCCTCTAATTTAAAATTGTAGACTTTATGAAACAGACATTTGATATGATTAAAAGTAGTGTTCATCTTTAGTGCAAAAGAATGTTCATATTTTCATATTTGATACTGGATATGGTCAACCCAAGTCAATGTGAAATTCTACAACTGCGGTAACATTTCTTCAAAAATGAAACTTAATCCCACAGAAATGCATGAGGGATTATCACTGAATGTCCTACACTAGTATTTTCACCATCTGAAAACGGTTTTAACATTTCCAAACATTCATTTTGCCATTAATTATAATAATCCGGTGAGATTTTTGTTTGCACAAGGAGCCTGAAAACAGCCAGTGCTCCACACAGAGATCTGATCATCATTAGTTTGTCTGGAATGACATGAAGAAACAGAACAAACTGAGACAGACTCAATCCAGAAGAACTGTGGAGAACAACATCTCCAAGATGCTTCAAAAAACCTACCTGCAAAGCTACAGTACTGATAAACGTTTTAGGCACTTGTGTAAAAATGCTGTAAAATGAGGATGCTGTCAAAAATAATGTCATAAATAGATTTTCTGCTCCCACTTTATATTACTTGGCCTTAACTACTATGTACTTACATTTAAATGAATCATTTGGTACAATGCACTTATTGTGTACATACATGTTTTTACATGTAAGTGCATAGTAGTTAAGGCCACCTAATATAAAGTGTGACTGATTTTCTTTATCAATTAACTTCTATTAACTAAATTAAATCATCATTTGGCCATCCTTTGACCATCCTTTGCGTTTAAAGCAGCTTTTGCTCTAGGTGCATTTGCACATAGTTTTTCAGGTAGGTCTCTTGAAGCATCTTGGAGATGTTGCCACAGCTATTCTGAATTTAGTCTGTCTCAGTTTGTTCCACTTCTTTATGTAATACCAGACAGACTAGATGATGATGATGAGATCAGATCTCTGTGTGGAGTACTGGCTGTTGTCAGACAAAAATCTCACTGGATTATTACAATTAATTGCAAAATGAATGTTTGGAAATGTAAACTGAAATTTCCTACTGACAACACTACAGCAAAAGATAGAAATAACTAACTTAAAACCAGAGGCGGACAAAGTACTCAACTCCATTACTTGAGTGAAAGTACAGATACTGATGGTCAAATATTACTCCATTACAAGTAAAAGTTGTAAAGACAGATTTTTATTTAAGTAAAAGTACAGAAGTACTTGCTTTTAAAAGTACTTAAGTACCAAAAGTAAATTTCCTTTTTTATGTCAATGCACTGTTTTATTGTTGTACGTAATACTTGCAATACTTCTGAAGCAACTTACAATACAGTACACCCACTGAATACACTGCCTAGCTTGTAGTATCTTTGGAATAAAGAGCTTTTAGAATGTTAAAAACCTATGGGGGAAAAAATTAACACCCCTACCCACCCCCACAAAAGCAGGATGGTAGTGATCTCACAGCTACAGAAATTCTGTAAATACAGAGTGATAAGAAAGAAAGAAAAATCAAACCTGCTTTAAAACCCAGTAACACAACTGTAGCTGTATAACTTTACAACAACAACACTGCTTTAACAAAAAAGCAAAACAGCAAGACTTATTTGACATCAAAACACAATTTTTAAAAATGCTGTCTAATCGCTCTTGCTGTATTTTGATGTCACACACAGAACAGTCTATGCAGTGCTGCTTCAGTCAAACACCTTTTGTGTTTTATTAGGAGACGCACAACAGTTCTTCTGTGGCTTTATAGGTAATATTTTCACTTACACAATTTAGCAAAATCAGACAATATTGTGTCTAATATATACCACAATATTAATTTATTATTATTGTTGTAAATAAATATCACATTTGGAACTGGTCAGTGTTCAAAAAATGCTGGGAAATCACTTCATGTATACCTACAAGAGTGATTACTGATAAACTGTCTGAAAAAAAGACAGTTTTTAGAGAAGAAAGAAATCACCCACTGACTTTCAAAGCTGCTAACGACTTTCTACTTCGAGGACCTTCATAGAAATGTAGTGGAGTGAAAAGTACAATATTTGTCTTTCAAATGTAGTGAAGTTAAAGTCATAAGTTCCCAGAAAAAATAATACTCAAGTAAAGTACAGATACTCAAAAAGTGTACTTAAGTACAATACTCAAGTAAATGTACTTAGTTACTGTCCGCCTCTGCTTAAAACCATTTTTAGCTGGTGAAAATACTAGTGTTCTAATAATTTTGGCCACCACTGTAAATTACTTCATGTTCGTGCCAATTCTCAAATAACTTATATGATGGCTTTTGTTCCACCCACTCAAATGATAAAAATTCTTGTGTTGTCCAATTTATAAAGACGGTGTCTGTTCCCCGAATAGTGAGGTCAAAATCTAAAATTAAAATGATGCTTTAGGACTTGCATTTACAGACTTAATAAACTCTTTTGGGGTCAAGCAAAATGTCACCGCGCCCACGCATCGTTTTAATAATACTCTAGATTTAATTATATTGCACAGAATTTATCTTACTAATACAGATATTGTACCTCAAAGTGATGATGTTTCTGACCACTACCTTGTATCGTGCATGCTGCGTATTAGTGATATTAACTATATGGCTCCATGTTATAGTCCGGGTAGAATTATTGTTCCAACCACCAAAGATAGATTCACAGATAACCTGCCTGATTTGTCTCAAATGCTCTGTGTACCCATAAATGCTCATGAACTAGACAAAATGACTAGCAACATGGGCACTATCTTCTCTAATACATTAGAAGCTGTTGCCCCCATCAAATTAAAAAAGGTTAGAGAAAACCGTACTGCGCCATGGTACAACATTAATATCCATTCTCTCAAGAAAGAAACTCATAATCTTGAACAAAAATGGACTAAAAAACTAACTTGGAAATTTTTAGAATTGCTTGGAAAAACAGTATGTCCAGCTATAGACAGGCTCTAAAAGCTGCCAGGGCCGAGCATATCCACAAACTCATAGAAAATAACCAAAACAATCCAAGGTTTTTATTTAGCACAGGGGCTAGATTAACAAATTATCAGACGTCACCTGATCTAAATATTCCCTCACAGTTTAGTAGTAATGACTTTATGCATTTCTTCTCTAAAAAAATAGATAACATCAGAAATACAATAACAAATGTAGAATCGAGAGTGTCTTGTAATTCAGATTCATTTATCGGCCCCCAAAGAAAATAAATAAATAAAACTGCAGTGCTTTACAACTATAGGACTTATTAAGAAACCACAACTAGATCCTAGTCAACAGGCAAATTACCCATTTCAAATCTTCCTTTTATGTCTAAAATTTTTGAAACGTTGTGTCTACTCAATTATGCTCCTTCCTGCAAAAAATTATATCTATGAAGAATTTCAGTCAGGTTTCAGGCCTCCTCATAGCACAGAAACTGCACTTGTTAAAATTACAAATGACTTGCTTCTTGCGTCAGACCAAGGCTGCATCTCATTGCTAGTTTTACTTGATCTTAGAGCTGCGTTCGACACTATAGATCATGACAATCTCATAGATCTAATACAAAACTATACGGGCATTCAAGGGCAGGCTTTGGGATGGTTTAGATCCTACCTGTCCGACCATTATCACTTTTTTTATTTAAACGGGGAGTCATCTCAATTATCACCAGTAAAGTATGGAGTGCCACAATGATCTGTCTTAGGCCCTCTGCTGTTTTCAATATACATGTTGCCCCTTGGTAATATTATTATAAAATACGGGATTAGTTTCCATTGTTATGCTGATGATACTAAGCTATATATTTCAACAAGACCAGTGTCAGGGTCCACGCCTGTCCTTGTTTGTCTGATTGTGTTCACCTGATCCTCGTGTGCTCTGCTCCCTTATATTGTGCTCATCTTCCCGCTTGTCTTTGCTGGTTTGTTTTGCGGCCGTTTTTTGTGCTTGCTCCTAGCTAGTATCATTGGTCTTGTTAGAGTTTGCTTTTCAGTGTATTTCATCCAGTCTAGTTTGGTTTTGTTTTTTGCCTTTTGTTCGGTTCCAGTTAATTATTTCTAGTATTTAGTTTTCCCTCCCTAGTCATCGTTTTTTGCAAGTCTTTACTTTTGATCTGTGTTATCTCTTGTCTCTCTTGTTGTCTTGTCTTTGTGTGTGTTTTTCGTATTGGTTCCTGCCCTGTTTCCTGAGTCCTCCCTGGTCACCGCTTCTTCTGGCCTGACAGACATTCTGGTGCTTCAAGAGTTACTACCCCAGTGCCAAGCCTGTGGTTCCTTGGGATTCTACCTAGTCTCCTTTGCCACAGAGTCTGGAGTTTCTCCGTCCTCGGCCAGCCTGTTTCCCCTGTCGTGTGCCCTGGCCTATTGTGTGGACTGTCTGCCTGCCTCATCCTTTTGTGTTCCCAGTTCTGTTAATAAACTTTGTTCCCCTGTTGTTAATAAACTTTGTTCCCCTGGTCATTCCGCATCTGGATCCTCCCTTGCCAAACCCTGACAGACCAGATGAAACTTCTAAATTATCTAAGCTAACAGAGTGTGTTAAAAATTAAAAAAATTGGATGACCAATAATTTTCTCCTATTAAATTCAAATAAGACAGAGATATTACGTATTGGACCAAAAAACAGTACACAGAATCTCTTAGATTACAATTTGCAACTAGACGGGTGTACTGTTATTTCCTCTACAGTCAAAAATTTGGGATTTATATTAGACAGCAACTTGTCTTTTGAAAATCATATTTCACATGTTACAAAAACAGCATTCTTCCTCCTGCATCTTCAATAAACAAGCTACAGGTAGTCCAAAAGACAGCTGTTAGAGTTCTTACTAGATCAAGAAAATATAATCATATTACCCCAATTTTACAGACTCTACACTGGCTACCTATTAAGTTCCGTGTCAGTTACAAAATATTACTACCTACTTTTTAGGCGCTTAATGGTTTAGCTCCTGCGTACCTAACTAGTCTTCTACCACGCTACAATCCATCACGCTCCACAAGGTCGCGAAACTCTGGACTTTTGGTGGTACCTAGGATGGCAAAGTCCACTAAAAGAGGTAGAGATTTTTCACATTTGGCTCCCAAACTTTGGAATAGCCTTCCTGATAACGTTCAGGGTTCAGACACACTCTCTGTTTAAATCTAGATTAAAGATTAAATCTTTTTAGCCAAGCATTCTTATAATGTATCTTATCATGTTTTGCTTGAACAGCAGCTACGCTAACTTTTCTCTATTTGCTTCTCTGTTTCTGCCACGGGATTGGCATCCCGAGGTAACTAGGAATTACAGAAGCTTCAGCCTGAATCCAACCCTTATGAAGATCTGAGATGACCAAACACCTGAGAAGAGATTATGTCAACCCCTCAGAGGACCTCAGATGATGCCAACCCTGATCCAACATACAAAACTACCAAACATATAATCATTGCTGTTGATTGTTTTTACTATCCGTTTGAATGCATGTCATTAACTAACTGAATGATTTTACTGTTTATTTCTGCCATATGGACATCACCTAGACATAATCACCATAATCATAAGATAAGCTATTCATAAATATAATGTAGAAACTTTCATTTTCTGTGAAGCTGCTTTGCAATGATTTGAATTGCAAAAAAGCGCTATGCAAATAAACGTGAATTGAATTGAATAAGTTATCAAAACCAAGTTGTCAAATTTTTTTAAAATAACTATTTGACATAAAAAGATAGTGAGAACAAAATGTGCTGTCATAAAGGTTAAAATACCTAGAAATTAAATGCAAACATTATCTTTTAATGGGGAGTTCTTTTCTGGCATTGCTTCTTCGCAATATTAATTAATTACGTTTTTTTTTCTTAATTTATTTGTAGTTACATAACATGATTAAGAACGTGCTATTTGATTATCCACAAAAAAACACTTTTTTGAAAGATTTTGAAAGGACCCAAGCTGTTTTAAAATGTATAACAGTACTGTAGAATAAACCCAGTAGAAAGTGTAAGTTATATATTTTAGTGCCCACTTATTACATATTAGAACTCACCTTAGTGTTTCCAGTTTACAGCTCTTATCTGTTAGCACATCAGAAAGCATTTTCACACCTGTATCATGCGGCATGTTGTGCGTCATATCAAGCTCAATTAAGTGAGCTGGGTTTGACCTCAAAGCTGAGGCCAAAGAAGCACAGCCGTTTTCACCGATTCTGCAGTTGAAAAGTCTACAACCACAGGAAAGAAAAGAAAAATCACAAATTAAATATGTTTGTTGTTTCTTCTACACAGTAATTTGATTCATTGTAGAGCAAATGGGAACTTCATTTCAGTTTTCTGTTTCAAAATGATTCGTCTGAGAAAAAGGAAAGAGTAATCTTAAAGTCTTCTAGAGGTCTCAAAAATGTCTCAAAACAGCCAAAAGTCTATTTCAGCATATCTTAGGATAAACTGTGTAAAACCCCATGGACGGGTAGCCAGTCGAAGACCAAATTATCTGAGCTATCTTACTGTATAACTCTAAACTGTATTTCTAAATTGTCCCATTTGTGTTTATTTTTTATGTTTGTAATTTGGCAGTTAACAATAGCAATTGGCATTTTTTGATACCGTACGTCTTTTTGACATTACATACCAAGGAATCACAGTCTACTTCCTACCTCAGAGTCTCTAGTTTACACTGAGGATTCCCCAGTCCGGCAGCAAGTTGTTTTACTCCTGCATCCTGAAGATTGTTGGAAGTCAAATCCAGTTCTCTCAGACATGAGAGACTTGAACTAAGAACAGAGGCCAGGCCTGAACAGCCTTTATCTGTCACATTACAACACCTCAAACTAAAAGGAAAAACAAAAGCAGGTTAGGTAAGTACTGTGTTCTTGGAATATGCTGACTAAGCATTCACATCAATGTTTGCATACTTGGGTAGAGTACGTTCCTGGCATAACCAGTGAGATACCTACATGACTGATCGGGATGTTTTGATGACTGGCAGCAATCTCAACAGTCCCTCATTTGAGGTCATGCTCGGATGAATGAGCTTTGACAAGTCAAACACATCCAGTTCTTCAGCAGATGTCAGCAGTATGTAAGCCAAAGCAGAAAAGCGTGAAGGAGACAGTGTTCCACCACTAAAACCATGTGAATTTATGAAGTCCTGCACTTCCTCAACCAAAGAATCATCTTTCAGCTCACTTAGGCAATGGAAAAGACTTACTGCCTTCTCCGCTGAAGGGTGGTCCCTGATTTTTTCCTTGACATATTCAGTCGTTTTCATGCTGCTTTGAGTATCGCTTAACACCTCAGTCAGGAGTCCCTGAAGAAGAGCCTGGTTGGACTCAAGGGACAGTCCCAACAAGAAGCGAAGGAAAAGGTCCAAATGTCCATTGTCGCTTGCTAAAGCATTATCCACAGCACACTTCAGAAATGCATGCATTGGGGTTTTTTTGAAAGTACTTATGATTTTAGCATTTGTCGTCTGACTGAGGACATTTCTTTTATAGTTGACAAACATAAGAAATGCATACAAAGCAGCCAGAAACTCCTGTATACTTGCATGTATGAAACTGAAGACCCTCTCCTGAAGCAGACCTGACTCTTCTCTGAAGATTTGGGTACAAACTCCTGAATAAACCAATGCAACATCGAGTTCAATGCCACATTCCCTCAAATCTTCTTCATAGAACAATAAATTACCCATTTCAAGCTGTTGGAATGCCAGCTTTCCAAGCAACAATGTGGTCTGGTTATCCCACTTCAAACGGGCTTTGGAATTATCATCGTATTTATGACTCCCATGCTTGATCTGGAACATCAGGAAGTGTGTGTACATTTGCGTGAGGGTCTTGGGAATTTCACCACTCTCCGAATCACGAAATATTCTTTCGAGAACTGTAGCTGATATCCAACAGAACACTGGGATGTGGCACATGATGTGAAGGACCTTTGAAGACTTCAATTGTGAGATTATCCTGGAGGACAAGTCTGGATCACTTATTTTTTTCTTGAAGTACTCTTCCTTGTGGGAGTCATTGAAACCTCGTACCTCGGTCACACGGTCAATGAGGTCAGGCGGTATTTGACCTGCTGCAGCTGGCCGTGAGGTTATCCAGACTAAAGCAGAAGGAAGCAAGTTCTTACAGATAAGGTTTGTCAGTAGGACACCGACTGAGACGGATTCTGTCACACTGGAGCAGCTCCTGTGGTTTTGGAAATCCAGAGGAAACCGACATTCATCAAGTCCATCCAAGATAAAGACTACCTTGTATTTATTTGAGTGTAACACTTCTGGATTTGTTTTTAGATTGAAGAAGCACTCAAGAATGTGTATCAGACTAATTTTCTTTTCTTTAATTCCATTCATTTCACGAAAAGGGAGTGGAAATATCATGCAGACGTCCTGGTTGGCTCTTTCCTCAACCCAGTCCAGTGTGAACTTCTGCACAGACACTGTTTTCCCGATGCCAGCGATTCCTTTGGTTAGCACAGTTCGGATTTGTTTAGCAGATTCGGGAGAAGCTTTAAAGATATCATTAGCCTTGATTGGTGCGTCCCATGTGGCTGGATGTTTAGATGCTGTCTCGATCTGCCTGATTTCATGTTCACTGGTGTGCTCACTGCTTCCACCATCAGTGATATAGAGCTCTGTATAAATGTTGTTAAGCAGAGAGGGGCCGCTGTGCTCTTCATTCCCCTCAAATATACACTGACACCTGTTCCTCAGCATCCTCTTATACTGATATGTCCCCATCAGATCTTCTGTGAAGTTTGACATAGTTAGAATAAAAAATGAATGGATCTTGCTAAATATAAAAATTAATATGACACTATTGAAATTAATACCATTTAGAACGTTTGACCTTGATTCCTTCTGCTGAATTCTGAAAGACAAAATACATATGTAAATGCAAACTATGCATTTAATGTTTAATTTAAAGTTGCGATATTAGGTTTTGTTGATAATGTTATGCCCGGTTCAGACTACACGATTTTAGCCCGATTTTGCCACGATTTGTTTGACGTAGGGTGTAGTGCGGATTCGTAAACGACAACGGGCGTCGGGACGCAAGATTCCATCGTTTCAGCACGTGTAGTGTGTCATAGTGGACGACAACCGATTCCGCGTCTGCGATGCTTCACAACATCACGACAGAAAGACTAGCATGTTTAATTTTTTTTCCGTCGTCCACGACGAGTTCTGTCACATTGGTGACATTGACCAATAGTAGCACAGAAGCTCTTTCATACACAGGTTTCAAACATGGCGAAACGAAAGAGAGATGATGGTGCTGCTAGGTGGAATTATGAGATGGAGGACAGGTTCGTGGAGCTGTGGCAACAGTACTCCTGCCTGTATGATATGTCATCGAGGGACTACCACGACAGAACAAAGAAAGAAAAATGCTGGCGAACTATAGCGGAAGCGCTTCAGCAATGTTTACACTCTTGTTTTCGGAAGTCAGTCGCTAGTTCCGCCTTCTCGATGACATCACGCGCGTCGTTAAACACGGCACGCGATGAATGGTCGGGAAGCAACGTGTAGTCTGACATGTTTCTTGTCCATGACACGACAAGATTTTAGGAGTCAAAATCGTGTAATCTGACACAGTGACTATCGTGACGACAAAAATATTGTGTAGTCTGAACCCGGCATTTAACAAATTTTTGTTAAAGGTAAAGTGTGTGTTATTTTCATGTGCACAGTGAACAAGCAGTAGAAAGAAAGAAAAAGAAAGAATTTGCGAGTAAGGCAGACACTCCTTTCTGAAGGCAAATTTAAATATGTAAATGCATTAAAAGCAAACTTTTATGCATATAATTGTTTAACAAATTGCCAACATACTTCAGTTCTGTACGGAGTGATTCTCTGCTGAAGTCGACAGGATAATCCATCGACTGCTTAAACTCAACCAACCTGAAATATAGAAATATTCCAAAAGAAGTGAATTTTTATAACATACTTGTTTGAGGCAGAATCGGTATGTTTATAAGAGGTCTGTGAGCTCACTTGCGTTCAGGGGTTTCTTCCTGAAGGGATAACGGGGAAGACATAGATGGATTCCCCAGAGACACATGACTTGGTCCTGGTAAAGCAGTATTATTTGGCTTGTTCAAGCTATAAATAAATAAATAAATAAATATATACATTCATATGTTTCTGTCAAAGCGCATATGTTGTGGGCTGAATAAAGTGCATATGCAATCATGATAAAAAAATAAATAAAAATAAAGTACCTTAAGCCTAAGTACACTGTAGAAACCAGTGGAACAAGCCATTGGTCTCTACAGTCAGCTTAGGCTCAAGATGGTTTTGAAAAATGCTGTTAAGCATACAGTAAGCGGCACTTGAAAAAATGCAGAAATAACCAGGTTACCCCAATATTCAAACCAGGGTTGTGCAATTTTCCATTTATGACAAGGTCTCAATTTTTTTTTTTTTTTTTTAAATTGGTAGCAAAATTGTATGAACTCATTCAAACATTTTTTTTTTTTTTTTTGGTATGATTTGCTTATACCCCACTACTGAGTGTTAGGTTTATAAGTTGATTTTCATGTTTATTGTATTTACTTATTTATTTTTTTAAATAATACATATTTTTATGAATCAAGTTATACAGACTGATACAAAATCACCAAGTTGTTAAAAAGTTTTCTCCTTTTTTTTTTTTTTTTAGGAGACTGGGCTGGTTTCTGTCTGCTTTTGTTGTGTTGAAAAGACTTGCAGTTTAAACATTCTTCAGAATGTCTTCTTTGGTGTTCCACAGAATAAAAAAAAAAAACATTCTACGGGTTTGGGACGACATGACAACAATTATTTTAAAACATTATTCATATTTGTTGATAATGTTAAATAAACTTTATTGTTCGACATCTTTTCATGAAACTAATTAATTTCTGTGCATCTCGAGCAATTTATCTTATAGTCAGATGTGTACATGTTAGGCCAACAGGTTTCTTGTGATGCAAAACTCTTCCCCAACACAATTTGCTCAGCGAGTGAGCTAGACACATTTGTAGAATAAAAGACTACTTTAAAGACTAAAACGAATATATAAATGCGTCAAAAACTGTTATATCCTTGATGTTAACAGAAACAGGCTGTTGCTAGCATACTTTAGTTCTGTAGGGATTGCTTCTCCGCTGTAGTTGAAAGGATTACGCATTGACTGCTCGCTTTTCATTGACAAACCGCTGGGCAGAGAGAAGTCAGAGTCCTCATGATTAATCAACCTAAAATGAAGAAATGTTTTAATGGGGATAAGATTTCATTGTTTGTGGCAATATCCACCCTGTTTATCAGCCCTATGATCTCACCTGTGTTTCTCTTTCAGGGTTAACCGAGGACACATGGACTCATTCCCCATGTAACTCTGTCCCAGTGAAGCAGATTCATCTGGCTTCTTCAGGCTTTAAAATAATAATCATTTAAAACATAGAACCGAAAGCTAGCATAATGCATTTTATATATATGTTGAGTCGATTCGAGTGCAAATACAATCAAATAAATAAACAGGAAACATACAAACCTTAAATCAGCCAGTTCAATAGCAAGGCCTCTGTCCACGCTCATTTTAGTATTTGAATGACTAGTTAGTGAACCAAACATTCTTCAGCCTGCAACAATAGATATACACTGATATAAATAAAATTATCAGTGACATGAAGTCTTTAAGAACTGATTTGTTTTAACGTGACAGATTCCCCCCCCTGGAAAAAAACATACAAATTGCAATCAAAATGATTCAACCCCTTTGACCTGCAAGACATTCTGTTACTGTTTCAACCAAGGCATCAGTAAATAAAATGTTTAATAATACACATTTGAATGACATAAAGTTGTTAAAAAATAAATGGGGGAAAAAAGCAAATTGGCTCTCAACATTCATGTACAAAAGTATTCAACCCCCAAAACATTGTAGAGCGTTTTGTACTCCTTATAACCTCCAGTAAATGTTGCTTACAAGCTTCTGTCGCCTTTCTACTGGAATCTTGGCACATAGCTCATATGCAAACGTTTCCAGATCACTGATAATCTTTGATTTTCACATTGACTCTTTTTCTCCACTCAAGAATATTGTATAACTGAACCAAGCCTCACTATATTTGGAGATATACTCTATGGGATGGTTGTCCTGCAGGAAAGTCCAATGATCATTAAGCGTCAGTCTGTGCATGGAAGGCATCACAATCTTTGCCTGATAACAGCTACTTCAATGTATGCGTAACAGCTTAAGTTTTGTTATAGACTTTTCAAAGGCTTTTCAATTGTGTTTTAACACAATTTTGTGCCCTACCATAGAAATCAGTGACTTAAAAAACAGCACTGTTGAACAGAGGTTGAATAATTATGACATAGATGTATTACAAAAAAAAAAAAAATCCTTTAACTCTAAAATATTACATTTTTACATGATCACTTTTAATATGCCACTGAATGAACTGCGGGGGAACAAAAATCTGGATCTTCAGAAAAGCTTACGTTCTCTGGTCTCTGGAGGGTTGAATAATTTCACATAACATAACTACAGTACATGACTACAGTATGTTACATAAATTGCGTAAAAAATCTATCATTCTAGTATTTTATTACTTACCTCACAATATAGATTTCTGCTCACTTATGAAAATAAAAACATTTTAGCTCCAGGTAGGTTAACATTTCTATGCTTTCCAACTGTTTGTGAGTATTATTTTTCATTTCCCTTTCTTTTATAAAATGGAATGCAGCTCTGCCACATTATGCAACATGACCCGTAAAGAACAACAGGTTCTTTTACAGGAACAGCACACAATGAAAGCAACGCGTTCTCACTGACATTGATGCTTGGTCAGGACCCTTGGGCGTCACTTTTTAATTACCTCAATTTCTTTTTAACTCAAACCCTTTAGCGTTCTTCTTCCTCCTCCTCCTCCTCCTCTTCTGCTTCTTCTTCTTTTTGACAGTCAGGGTCCTACTCCATTGCTTTCAATACACAGACACATGATGATAATGATGTGTGTGTGTGTAATTAAAAAAAAATACTACAACATGGTTTCCATCAATAATAATAATAATAATAATAACTCGATAACTATTAGAATATTTTCACTTCTCAATTATAAACTCAGTCGGTCCAATGGCAATAATGATGGTAGAGAATTGAAATAATTTGTCCACATAATAATAATAATAATAATAATAACTTGTATTAATATTTTATTGCTTGTCGTATTCCTCATTTGTAGCTAAGTCTCATTGGATAGAAGCGTCTGCTAAATTAATATGTATTTTAAAGGGGTCATATGATGTGATTTCAAGTTTTCCTTTCTTTTTGGAGTGTTACAAGCTCTTAGTGCATAAAGAATATCTGTAAAGATTAAAGTCTCAAATCCAAAGAGAGTCTTTATAAAAGTTAAGAGTCAACCACACCTGCCTAAAACGGCTCGTTCTAACACGCCCCCACATAGCTACGTCACGATGTGGTAAAATTTGCATAACGCCGCCCAAATGTTCACGCAAAGAAAGAAGGCGTAACTTTTATTCTCGCTGTAGTTGTTGCTGCCGCCATGTCGTGAACGCGCTGTGTGATTCGTTGTGAAAGCGAAACTACTTTGTTTGGCCTTCCAAAAGAGGACGATATCCGCTTCGTCATGCCTGGAGCTGATCCGTGCTGGTCGCTGAGGAAATACATCAACTTCGCTGTGGATCGCCAGATCGGCTTTCACCCTGGATGAAGCGGAGTCCAGCCCAGGGTCGTCACATGTGGTTGCTGCAAGCCCGCCAGACGCTCCTTCGTCGAATCCACCGGTCGTTCCTCACTCTAGCCCTCCGGCCGTTCCTCACTCTAGCTGCCACCTCTGCTCACTCAAGCCCGCCGTGTGTGACGCTGTTTCGTTGTGAAAGCGAAACTACTTTTTTTGTCTTCCAAAAGAGGACATGACTAGAAATCAGTGGTTAAGTTGTATTTACAACACTGTTCCAGAACAGTTAATTGGATTAGTGACTTCCTTAAACAAAGAGTAATAAGAGTGAGAGTAGGAGACTCTATATCATCAGTTATATGCATTTATATTTTATTGCATAAAAAATGCAGTCATTTGTTCAGATTCATATTCAGCAATAGTCAGTATTGATAACCAAAAATCAGAATCAAGGCCAGATTTAATCATGGAAATCCTTCAAAATCTCTTTGAGTTAAAACAAAGTAGAATAGAAGTACAGTTTATGTGGGTTCCAGCCCATGTGGGAATTAAAGGAAATGAAGAAGCAGATAAATTAGCTAAGCAAGCAGTAGATGATGAAATAGTAGAAATTGAGCTATCACATAGTATAAGAGAAATAAAATCAGTAATAAAGGAGAAAGTGATTAAAAAGTGGCAACAGTATTGGGATAATGAGACTAAAGGGAGACATTTATATGCAATACAAAAGAAAGTGGAAAGTGGGAAAAAAAGTGGGAGAAATAGGAGGGAGGAAAGTATAATTATGGGACATACAGGTTTGAATAATGAATAAAATTTAATATCTAAACATCCAACGGGATTGTGTGAGAAATGTGGACAGAGTGAAACTGTAGAACATGTGATTATTAATTGTAAGGGTTATGATGAAGAAAGAGAAGTGCTAAGAGAACAAGTATGGATGAATGAAGGAAAAGAGTTAACATTAAAGAATATATTAGACTCAGATATAGGAAATAGTACGATAAATGTGTTGTTTCAGTTTCTGAATAATACAGGTTTAATGGAGAGAATGTAGGATAAGTATAAATAGAGAGGTAGAAGATGCTGATATAGTGTGGGTAGAAGGGAAAGTATATCTAACGGGTAAATAAGGATATAGTGGGATATTGGGATTTAAAGGGAATTGGGGTGGAAACTGGAGGAGCTGAACACGCAGCACCAGTGTATTTATTTTTTCTTTTTCTTTGTAATGGGGGGGGGTTAGAAAATGTTAAGAGATAGAGGAAATGTTTCTGATCCAAGCTACCTGATGATGGCAGTAATGCACTGTTAAGTGCGGTTGCCAGTAAAAGAAAGAA